CAAAACACATAACTCATAATACATATCGTCATTGAACATTAAGCGTGCGGACCCTACGGGTTCGAGAACTATGTAGACATGATCGAGACACATCTTTGATCAATAACCAATAGCGTAACTTGGATGCTCATATTGGCTACTACATATTCTAAGAAGATCTTTATCGGTCAAACTGCATAACAACATACGTTGTTCCCTTTGTCATCGGTATGTTACTTGCCCGAGATTCGATCGTCGGTATCATCATACCTAGTTCAATCTCGTTACCAGCAAGTCGCTTTACTCGTTTCATAATACTTCATCCCGCAACTAACTCATTAGTCGCATTGCTTGCAAGGCTTACAGTGATGAGCATTACCGAGAGGGCCCAGAGATACCTCTCTGAAACACGGAGTGACAAATCCTAATCTTGATCTATGCCAACCCAATAAACACCTTCGGAGACACCTGTAGAGCACCTTTATAATCACCCTTTTATGTTGTGACATTTGGTAGCACACAAAGTGTTCCTCCGGTATTCGGGAGTTACATAATCTCATAGTCTGAGGAACATGTATAAGTCATGAAGAAAGCAGTAGCAATGAAACTGTAACGATCATGATGCTAAGCTAACGGATGGGTCTTGTCCATCACATAATTCTCCTAATGATGTGATCCCGTTCATCAAATGACAACACATGTCCATGGTTAGGAAACATAACCATCTTTGATTAACGAGCTAGTCAAGTAGAGGCATACTAGAGACACTATGTTTTGTCTATGTATTCACACATGTACTAAGTTTCCGGTTAATACAATTCTAGCATGAATAATAAACATTTATCATGAAATAAAGAAATATATAATAACTTTATTATTGCCTCTAGGGCATATTTCCTTCGGTTCCTAGTTTATGGAGGTGAGGAAGAGCTCGTCGTAAGGGGTTACGCTGATGCTAGTTTTCAAACCGACAGATATGATTGTCGATCACAGTCTGGATTCGTGTACGTTATGAACGGAGGAGTAGTGAGCTGGATGAGTTCCAAGCAAGATACGGTGGCCAATTCTACCACAGAAGTCGAATACATTGCGGCTTGTGAAGCTGCAAAGGAAGGTGTTTGGATCCGGAACTTTCTTGGTATTTTCCCAGCCTCGGTAAAGCCGTTGAACCTTTATTATGATAATTCTGGTGCCATCGCACAAGCCAAGGAGCCGAGGAATCATCACAAGGTCAGACACATAGATCGGAAATATCACCTGATACAAAAGATCGTAAAGATGGTGATGTAGAGTTATGCAAAATTCACACAGATGCAAATGTTGCAGATCTGTTGACTAAGCCGCTTCCACAACCCAAGCATGAGGGGCACGTTAGAGCTATGGGCATTTGATGTCTATTTGATTGACTCTAGTGCAAGTGGGAGACTGTTGGAGATATGCCCTAGAGGCAATCATGTATGATGATATTTCCTATGTGTTTATGAATAAAGATAGTCTTTGGACATTATCAATGATGTGTATCAGCAAGTATGTGACTTTTTTGTGGGACTATGCATTGTATGATGACTGCCTAAATGGTCCCTAGTTGAAAGGGTTGTGTGGACGCGCAGCCGACTAGACTAGCATATGCCATGGTCGATGGCTTGGTCTCACTGCCCATGAAGCATTTGATGCTAACCAGATAATATGGACTCGGAAGGATCTGGTCAGATTCAATGTAGTCGAATCCGAGTCGAGATAAGGTCTGAGTCGGACAGACCCAACTATGAGACGCAGCGATGTGCCATCTGTGAGTCTCTAGTACAACATACGTTCTATGTCCTAAGACCTGAGCTGACGCATGTACTCGGGATGGTGACAGACTTGCTTTGGGCCGACCAAATGCTACTCCGTGACTGGGTAGTTACAAAGGTAGGTTTTGGGTTTGTCCGATCCCATGCTGCAAGACATGGTCGAGCAAGATGGGATTTGCCCCCCGATGAGGAGAGATATACTCTGGGCCCCTCGTGTGATCCGACCAGGATAAGCATGGCCATGCGACAAGGATTATGAGATAATCCAGTTTGTGGTCGGTATCACTGGAACGAGAAAGAGGTCGGGCTAGCACAAGGATGACAGTCTCACCTTGAGCTTGACAACAAATATCGTGAGGCAAAGGGAACAAAAGTGTGACACGTTGTACAGGTTCGCCTAACCAGCTTCATAGTTTGCTTGGTGGTCGGCACGCCTTGCTAGAGGCCGCTACCAACCGTGCACGTCGGAGGTGATCCGAACTGTGACCAAGTCGACTTGAACCTAAGGGTCGCGCGCTTAAGGGAAGGAACCTATGAGGTCGGTTCGGAGGACACTGGTCGGATGTGATCCGAGCTGGACTTGGAACGCGACCGAGTAGACTTTGGGCTTTAGGATCCATGCAAGGCCCAAGTGTTGAGCCCGCGATGGACGCCTATATAAAGTGGAGGTGCGCCGCACTCATTCGGTTGATCGCTTCAGCGCTGTCACTAGGGTTTGCATGTGTTGCGAATAGACACCTTCACTCGCCGCCGGTTGTGTGATCGGACCTAGCAGTCTGCCGCACGACGTTCCTCCTGCACGTGCGGATACCGTTAGAGGCGGAGCACTTGCGCCGCTCCGGCGAACCTGTACGAGGGATCCGACGATCGACTGTTCGAGGGAGATCAGACGAGGAGGAGACGAACCACGCGGACGCGCTGCCCCAACTCTTCTTCCGCTTCAAGGCACTGCGCGTCTAGTGGTAACGATCTGTGATCCATTCCCGTAGCATGTTCTTGGTTGTTCCGCGCGTAGGAAAATTTTAATTTGCAGTCGACTCACCCTACTGTAGAACCCAACAGAGCTTGTCTGCTAATGGCTTCATTGAAAAGTAGCATATCAGACACATTTCCTGATTGTTTATTTATGTTATGGGGTTATCCCGCATAGTTAAAATCCCCAAGAATCATCCAGTTTGCTTCATCATCCATTTGAAAAGTCTGCAACCAAATAATAAAATCCCTTCTGGCATCAAGATGGCATGGGCCATATAAATTAGTGAGGTACCATTGTTCCCCTTAGTGAGTGGAGCTAAAATGAAGAGTGATGGAGAAATCATTGGAGTGGAAAAGTTGCCCGGAGAAGACTTGATCATTCCATGTAATAAAAAGACCCCAGAAGCCCCATGTGATGGAAGATATTCAAACTTGGAGATTCTTCTAAAAGTACATATGAGAGCTACACAAAAAATAACTAAATCATGATTTCTAGCACATGTACTATTCACTATGAAAGTACATGATTTTTTTATTGCTCGCATCAGAACGTATTTCATGATGAAGTTTTACACACATCTAGGCCCTGTTCGGAGTCACTCCAGCTCCTCAAAATACGAGGAGCTACTGAGTATATGTTTCTCAACTCCGTGCTATTTAACTCCAGCTCCGGGCGTGGAGTGGTGGAGTGGCGGGTCTTCGAACAGGGCCCTAATATACATCTATAAGTACCTGTGTATTTATTTCAACATTTAAAAATGATTTTTTGATTTTTTGAAAATTCCAGGCTTCATGGAGCGTGAGAGCCATAAAGCCCCAGTTAAGCAAAAAAGGGAATTAGTTGTACTAGTTTTAAAAATTTCCGGCTTCATGGAGCTTGAGAGCCAAAAAGCCCTAGTCGAGCAAAAAAAAATGGGAATTGCCTCTAAAAGTTTTAAAAAATCCAGCTTTCATGGAGCCCAAGAGCCAAAAAGCATCGGTGGAATAAAAAAGAGAATTGGCTCTAAAAGTTCTAAGGATCATGATCCTTGTCCTGAAAATATTTTCTGGTTCCTACAAAATCCATGGCAAAACATCTACTGCACGCCACCGCGAGCTCTTGTATTTTGCTCCCTCTCTCGCTTGTCAAGTTGCCGCCGAAACACAGATGTGGTGTTGCCTCAGAGGGCTTGCGTTGGAGTCGTCGGCACCACATGAGTCACCTACCATGACACAAGATCTAGAAGCATGCGGTATGTTCTGCAACTCGAAGAAATCCTCGCCTAACCCGACACCTCGACAAGCACTACTAAACCAAAGAACGAAGCTTGTTACAAAAAAATGTTGACGAGGAGGAAGACGAGTTTGGTCCTGTGGGGGGTCCTGCTCACTGACGCCCCCAGATGATTATGTATTATGCATTATCTCCATAATGATATGTTATTATTTCTTTTAAAAAGACGCCATGCTCTCTTCATAATTAATTAATCTCAGTGATTTTTATCATTTAATATAGAGAAGAAGAAAAATGAACTGCCGAATGACAAGACATTTCTCGACCGTTGCACCTGATCTCCTATCATCCAACATCGCCATCATTGTCTGTGCAAGGAGAAGAAATTACCAGGAGGAAAGAACCGCTCGACAATCCAACGGCTGCCGTACCACGATCCCCCTGATCGGACGGCCCAGATGAACCGAACCGTCCATGCATCGCCACTGCGACGTTCTCTCCCTCACTCGCACTGTCGTCCTCCAGTATGTCTGTGTACCACCGCCCCCTCCAAAACGCCAAAAAAATTCCCCACTTCTGCGCCCTTTCCCCCCTCCCCTCCCCTCCCTCCTCCCGAGATCCCATCCATGGCCGCCTCCCGCCCCCGGATCTGGCCCTGAGGCCGCCATTGCTGGATCCGCCTCCCCCCTCCGCGCCGTCGCGTTCCTGGCTCCTCCGCGCACCCCGCTGATTGAGGCGGCCTGTCCTTTCCCCCCCTTTTTCTGGCGGTGCGCTCATTCGTCGGTTCTTGATCCGTCGCATTTGCGCCGGTGAGCTGCCCGAGAGCAAGGAATTCACCCTGAGATCTCCGGTTGCTGTTGCCGTCGAAGTCCCCCCCTCCCTGCCATTGCAATCTCCTGTTGCTGTCGCAAGGTGCGTCTTTTACATAAAATTTCTGCGAGGAATTTCACGGCTGATTCTCGGGAGGACGGATTCCTCGCAATGGTTCTTTGATTGGGGGAGAATTTGATGTGGTGTTGGTGCCGCCGTATTCTGCCGCCATGTGGAAGCAATTTATCGGCAAGCTCTCGTGGAAATCGCTGAAATCTGGCCCTGGCGGCGGCGGAGGAGGGGGCTCGCCCACGGCGAAGTCCAATCCCATGTCTCCCAGGGAGAATGGGGCATTCGGGAAGCCCCCCGCCTCGCCCAGGTCCCCCTCGGGGGCCGCCGGAGCCGAGGGGAGGTCCAGGGAGGACGCCTTCATCGAGAAGGTGACCATTTGCTGCACGGTGTACGACTTCACCGACCGGGGCAAGGACTCGCCGGAGAAGGAGAGGAAGCGGCAGGTCCTCATGTCCCTCGTGGACTCCATTGGCGCCGCCGAGGAGCCCCTCACGGAGGCGATGATGTCGGCGTGCGTGCGCATGTTCGCTGTGAACCTCTTCAGGGTCTTCCCGCCCAAGGTCCGATCAGGCACCACCACGTCGGAGACAGAGGAGGACGAGCCCTTCTTTGACCCCTCTTGGTACCACCTGCAAGTTGTGTATGAATTGCTTCTGCGGTTTGTGACCTCGCCATTTGTTGACCCCAAGGTAGCTAGGAAGTATGTGGACAGTTCGTTCATCTCCAAGCTGCTTGACCTGTTTGATTCTGATGATCCCAGAGAGAGGGACTGTTTGAAGACAGTGTTGCACAGGATATATGGAAAATTCATGGGAAACCGTCCGTTCATCCGTAAGGCCGTGAGCAATATCTTCTATAGGTTCGTCTCCGAGGCCGACCATCACAATGGGATATCGGAGCTGTTGGAGGTGTTTGGCAGCGTAATAAGTGGGTTTGCAAAGCCATTGAAGGAGGAGCATAAGTTGTTCCTATGGAAAGCGTTGATCCCACTTCACAAGCCTAAGACAGTGGGTGTATATCTGCCGCAGCTGACCTACTGCATAACACAATTTATAGAGAAGGAACCCAAGCTTGCAGGAACTGTGATTAGGGGTCTGTTGAAGTACTGGCCAGTTACAAATAGTCAGAAGGAGATGATGTTCTTGGGGGAGCTAGAAGAAGTGCTTGAGTTGATTGACATGGCTGAGTTTCAGAAGTGCATGGTGCCATTATTCCGGAGGATTGCGACTTGCCTCAATAGCTCCCATTTTCAGGCAAGTTTCGTCCCCAAGCCATTGATTAATATTTGTCCCTATACCGTGACTCCCCTGTAAAAAATGCTTTTCGTGTTGCAACAATTGCTAGGGTTAGAGATACCGACAAGAAACAAGAAAAGCTTGTGAAACATCAGTAAGAATTTAGCATGTGTGTCCTCTGGTAGGAAGTTATCATCACTATTATTTTGTAGAGTAGTTGCAAAGTTGTATACTGGTCCATTCCATTGCTTATTTTAGGTTTTTAGTCGAAGAATCTGCTTGTTCTCTTTCCTTTTCCTTGCACCTTTTAAATTTGCTAGTGTTACTTGCATGGTCCCACACACCTTTTATGCCATTATTGTTTAGATATTTGATCAGTGGTTAAACTCATTCCATGTTGGCTAAAGTGGGACCAAACACCTCAGTTGTTGCCTTGTTGGTTCTGGTGCAATTGATGGTCTGCACTTCACTTTGGAACTCTGTAGAGAGTATACCACTCACATTTAAATAGACATGAAATACCACATTATTATTTTGGCTCTATCTTATATTGGGTGGTTGCACAGTCACAAAAAGGTGAAATCCTCAATCCAAAGGCAGGGAACTTGAAACTGGGCCCAATTAATGAGGCAGAATATATTGGTTGAGGTACAAGTTAGGATGATCACAACTGTTTGATAGCTTATAAGGTCATGTCATGGTATGAATTATGACTGCAACCACCCAAATAAATCAGATCCTGGGGTTTGTGGAGCTTGACAATCAATTAGTTAGAATTCTGCTTTCCATTTGATATTCTAATCAATTTATTGGGATATGCTAACCACAGAACCATGATTTGATTAAGAGCGTCGTTTCGGCTGAAACATCACAGTAGAGAACATCCTTTGATAGCTCAATGCTTGGAAGGAAATAAATCAGTGATAGGCATTGACTACTAAAATACTCCCTCCGTTCCAAATTACTCGTCGTGGTTTTAGTTCAAATTTGAACTGAAACCACGATGAGTAATTTGGAACGGAGGGAGTACTAGTTAATAGCAGTTGCTCTGGAAAGAACATCAGAAGATTTTTTATGTATACTGTCTTCTCCCCATCGATTTTCATGTTAGAGAAGTGCATAAATATAAGATTATGAATGACCTAGTAGCACTACTACTGTCTTGGTTCATGACAATTCCATGTCCTGGAACAAGTATTGCAGGTCTTCTCTTGCAGTTTTTGGCCAAGTTATTTGTTAAGATTTCATTTAAAAAAGGGTTAATCCATTTCCTGTCTTTTGGCAGGTTGCTGAGAGAGCCTTATTCTTGTGGAATAACGAACATTTGTTCGATATGATCTCCCAAAACCGTCAAGTGATTGTGCCAATTGTATACCCAGCTCTGGAGAGAAATGCACGTTTGCACTGGAACCAATCGGTTCTCAACGTTACTATGAATGTGAGAAAAATGTTCTTCGACATGGACGAGAGATTGCTCCTGGCTTGCCAGAGCAACTTCCAAGCAGACGAAGAGAAGCGAGCCGCAGCGGAGGAGCGTCGAAGGCTCACATGGGAGCAGCTGGAGCGGAATGCCCGGAATGCCGACCCTGCATTCCGACCAGCCAACACGCCCCCTTCTTCGGCCCCTCCGAGAGTCCCCACCGTGACATGACACGGGTCCGAATATACTCCACCCCACCTTCCCTTGCTTCCTAGCTAGCTAGATGAAGTTGCTTGCTTCTCTGGGATACAGAAGGCGTTTTGTTACCTTTGTAAACCCCCCCACCCTTGCCACAAAGTCTGTAATTAATAGTTGTTGATTCGAAGACAAATGGATTCTTGATTTTTCCTTTTCTTTTTTGCGGCGAATTCTCGAGTAATGGGCATTGCTTTCTTGGCAAAATCTTGATTGAGATTTACCCCCCAGTGTTCTGTGAAGAGTGGGCGCTACTGACTTTGTATGTTAGGAGTGGCAATTTTGCAGCCATTTTTTTGTATGTGAGACTTCCATTCTTTTTACAGCGTCATATAATGTCAGGTTCACTTGTTTGTTTCTGAACAAGATGCCTTCTCTAACAGCATATAGCATATGCTCCGTAAACTAATATAAGAGCGTTTAGATCACTATTTTAGTATTCTAAATGCTGAGATAGGCGATTTGGCGGACGGGCTCGCGTGCACACGTTATGTGGCATGTAGGTATAGGTCGGCCAGGTGCGGGCGCCAGGCGTCGGTGTGCGTGGGGCCAGTACAAGAAACGAGCGGGCCCAGCTATTGAACGACGGCGTCGTAACGACGTCGTTGACGGTGGCGATGTGTACCACTGGTACATGACATCGGCGTGGACATGTGCCGCCACGGGATCAAACGGAAATATGCGTGGAGTAAAAAAAGGAAAGAAAAAATATTGGGTTGCATCGGACCTTTCCGGAGTCTTCGGGGGTCGCCCACGAGCCTGCGCACGTTCTCTTCGGGTTGAGATTTCTCCGAGGACGCGGAAATCAGCCATGGAAGCGGCGCTGAGGATGGTGAATGGATTCGACTTCTTTTCAGATCTAGTGGACTGGTGAGTCGCCCACTTTATCTTGGTTCGTTGATTTTCCATGCCCTCCACGCATGTCATTACATCGGGTGCTGATTTCTGTTTCCGTCACAGATTCCTTTTGCCGTCCGCGAGTGGGGAATCCGGGAAACGGGGCGGGGGTGCACTGCCATAGTTCCGTGGATGTCCGAGGGAGGGTGGGGACGGCGGCGAGTAGCTCTTTCGGAGAATTTTGGCCTGCCGTGGTGTCGCCTGTCCAAGATATGAATGGGCTGCCGGACAGCGGCAGCGCGTCAGTTCAAGACTCTGGCCAGTTGATGGGGAAAGACGACCCAGAAGCACCAGGATGAACTCCAAGGTCAGTTTTCCCGACGGCAATGCATACATAGTTTCTGCGTATTGTAGGGGTGTCGGCCGATCTGCCTTGGGTTTGCATAAGAACGACATGATGATTTGGTGTTTTAATGTAGAGTTGTACCCTCTGAGCCGCCGTGCGTGGGGAGGGTATGCTTGTTGGAGAAGACTTTCAGACTTCAGAGGGTTCATGGAGCAAAAGAGAGCCATGTTCCTGAAGTTGGTGCTTCATTCGACTCTTTAGGTGAGGCATATGATTTGTACAACCTCTGTACTCGTGGGAAATTGAATTTGGTATCTGGTACAGAAATAGCAGATTATCGCAAAAATAATTTTGTGAACCGGATGCAGTAGCATGCGTTTTCTAACTGTCAATAGTTGTTCCTTATGACTAATGTAGGGGAAATGAAAGAAGATTCGGCTGCTGCGAACAAACGACAACAGCTGGTACATATTTCAGGGTGCAGATGATGATGAAGGGGGCTGTGTGGGAAGATTAGTCTTACAATGCAGATGATGATATGGGGAAGACAATGGAGGGTTTTGCTGAGCTGCGCAGTCTATCGGTTGTCCATCAGTACATGAAGCTACTTCATGACGGGTCGCAAGCAAAAACTATGAAGAATGAAGGATTTCGTCTCGGTCAATCACTTACATGCACAACCTGTACAAGCATGCACTAGAGCTTGTTCGGCTAGGAGATGCAAACCCCTGCGCGTATGAGAACATTGAGAAGGCCTGGAAATATTAAAATGGGGATGTGGACTCTTCATCGCTGGCTGCTACAAGGGGCGGCTTGGGCCTGGAGGACCTGCTTGGCAGCTCTGGAAGGGGCTGCTAAAGTAGTTCTTGGTGGCATTGGGCGGGGGGCGGAGGGCGTGATGCCGAGGGCACCGGCATCGCTCATTTTTCTTTGCTCCCTGCACTGCTATGAAAATGCAAGGCCGGGTGTGATAAGCCTCCATGTGATGAGAGGTCATTCAAAACATGGAAGAAGAAAATCAAAAGGATTGGCGAGGAACGAGCAAGCACACCAGGTTCTGCTCAATCTGAGGCAGCCAGGGCACGAGAGCACGACCTGCCTTGACAGGAGGGATATTCCAAAGAAGCCGAGGAAACAATTGATGTGCACCAGTTGTGGCGTTGGTGGGCACCAGAGGAACACATGCGACAGTCCTAGTGCCGTATACTTCACAAAGTGCAGGCGGCTGAGTTGATTGTTTGTGTATAGTAGAGTAATGATTTGTAGAAAAATGATGTGGTAAAACAAAATTTTCTGTATGCTGTGAGGACCTGACTTTGTGTGAGCACACACCGTCATATTGCGCTGCCTGAATAAAGCTATACCTTCAGAAACATAATACATGTTGTCGCAATCAGTGACTGGTCACAGTGTGTGCAATCAGCCTAGTTGAGCCGTTGAAGAGGGTTTGCAGGCCGCACGAACACAATTAGTGATTGTTGTGTGGTCTCGGAACCACTGGGTTTGGTGCGCCGTGGCAGGACGGTACATCATGTTACTTGTGACCCGAATCAAACTGGGCCTGGGGTACAGGATACGTCCCGCCGTCAAATCTGGATGCCATCCAGATGACGTTACGACCCTAAGTGTCCATCCCGTTATATGTTGGTTGACTTTTTCCTACCCTAGCCGCCGCCACCACCAAGGCGACTAGGGAGGCGATCTCTTTCCTCCGATCTTCACCGGCCGGGGCGCTGGCCCCCTCTCCCTTCGGCTGCTCCGGCGGCAGGAGGGAGGGGGGACCCCGTTCCTTCGCTCTGTAGTTAGGTTTTGGATTTGTAGGTCGTGGTGCGTCGTTGAGGTGGTGGGAGCGGCGCCCGGACGAATAAATCAGCCTCAACTCCACTCCAACACCGGCGGTGCCCTTCATGGCGGCGTCTCGGAGTTGATGGCATCGTGTCTCTGCCAATCCCACGGATCGGCAGCGTTAGGGTTCATGGATGGTGTTGGCGAGGCGGCGGCGGCGACCCCATCAGGTGTGTCTCTCCTTCTGCTCTGTCCCCGTTGCTGTGGCGTTGTCTCCGACGTCATGGTGGAGCAGGGAGGTTTTGTCGTTCAGGAGTACGCGCAGGCGGTTGTCTGTGCAAGTGACAGCTGGAAGATGGAGTTTCTTGTGCTGGGTCTATGGTCGAAGGCTGGCAGTTCTGATTTCCTCCTCCGACGTAGTCGTCATGCGGGGGTGTCAGTTCTGAAGTTTGATGGCGTGTCCGGGGACATGTTGCCCCGGTCTGATTCTTTCAATGGCTATGGTTTTGCTTCTGGCAAACTACTTTGGAGGTCCGTAAAGCTGCTGATCAGCGATGGAGCCGCGTCGAGCTTGGGTGAAGAGGTGATCTGTCTTTTTACACTTTGGTGGCTGCTTCGGTGGTGTCAAAGGAAAAGGGCAGACGCTGGTATTTTGCATAGGATTTTTCTATTTTTTCAGTCATGCATGGTCGGTGCTTACGTGCCTTGTAACATGATCTTTATTCTATACAAATGAGACACGTATTACCATGCAAAAAAAAAATCTTATTAAATGCAACTATGTCCCACAGACAAGACCTATGTCAGATCTGAACGCTGTTGAGCGGCCCACGATATCGTGATCAAGCGAGGACGAGCACTCCTACGCATTTTCGTCTAAACGCTCTTATATTAGTATACAGAAGGAGTACCTTTTATTGAGATTCACTTGTTTGTTTCTGAACAAAATGCCTTCTCTAACACCATGAGCAATGTGGAGTAGATGGAGGAAGAAAACAGGAGTTGCTGGAATCTCATGGACATCCCTTTTGGCAGCTGTTGGGCTTAGGCTATCCACTTGCTCTGCCCCTGTGCCTTTTCTATGCTCATGTGTTCTCATGAAAAAAGAACATGACAAGCACATTCTCAAAGGGTTATGTAAAGGAAACATTCATAGAACAATAAGCTATGTCATTCTCACCTGCAACTAAAGCTGAAATGGCATATCCAATAAACCCCTAGGCACCTGCCAACTCTTCGTGGTTATCGCTTCCTGCGAGGCCAGATCAGCGGTTGTTCTCAGAGTGGCATGTTGCAGGTGGAGCCTGAGCTTGAGTTTGCTTTTGCTTGGAGGCTACTTGAGCTTTGAGCTGAGCTTCCTATAAGAGGAGCCTCAAGGCACCAACCATGGATACCATCTGAAACCCCTTCCATCTTCTTTGCTTGCTTTTGCGCTTGGCCTTCTCTTCTACTCCCTCTACGCCTTACATTTGTTTACAGAGGGAGTACTTACTACTCCCTTGTAGTTGCGGTGAAAGCTTGGGAGATGTACTCCCTCCGTCTGAAAAAGCTTGTCCCAACTCCTAATCTTGTCCCTCAAATGGATGTATCTATTCGGACGGAGGGAGTATAACCTTCCGGCTGCGCAGGGTGCCAGGGCATGTCCTGCTGCGGCCATGTCCAGAAGCGCCATGAGGGCAAAGACTGCATCTATGCGTATGGTGATGATAATACTGATATCATATGCTACTCCCTTTGATCCAAAATATAATTGAACTAAAACCATGAAATTTATTTTGGATCGGAGAGACCGAGAGAGTATAATTTTCTTCTATCAGCCTGCCTGATTTCTTCGTTACATGAGCAAGAGTTCCAGCAGGCAGCAAATAAAACCTACTCCCTTTACGGAGGGAGTATATTCATTCAAGAGCTCTAGCACCTGTGAATTCATTGTGTTGCAGGCTCGGAAAAGGATTAGTTAGTGGCAACTTTCATGTCAGAAGGGCTTTATTGTCTTATTACCTTTTATTTAATTTTGTTTTTTGACAGAGATGCCTGGTTTCCTTTTGCAGCCTGTTCACCGTGTGCTGCTGTTTCTGCTGCCACGAGACCTTCGAGTGCCTCTGCTGCTGCGGGCTGATAGTTCGTATTTGTATAACTGAATCTTCACATACAAAGTCAGCAGCGCCCACTCTTGCTACAAACGATCAAGATTTGAGTTTACTTAAATGTCTTGTGATTGTTTGTAGCATGTATTTGTATAATGGAACCTTCTGATTATTTGTAATGCATCCTTGAGATTTTGTACATTACACAAACTGGGTCCAACTATCTTTATGTGGAGCAGGGCAACCACTTAAAGGTAGGTGCAAAACTGCCCAACTTTTACTACATTTGGTAGATGAGTAGTTTGGTTGAGATTAAGCAGGATTTAATCTTCCAGTTATCTTCTAATGTACTAGCAATCAAATAAGCGAGTTCTGGTTAATTGAGGAGGTGGTCTTATAGGCTCCAGAAGATAAACTAATCAAATGGCCTATATACAAATAAATAGTTTCAGCAAAACATTCTGGCAGAACCATTCCTCTATCCGAATATTCAGTGTTACATCTGAATGGGATAACTACAACTGAATTTTTTACATTAAAAGTCTATACTTGGTGTGAAACACTAATGCTAAATCAACAACCACCAATATCACCGATCGTAAATAAATGAACAAGGCCACTTTTCAAGACTCCGTGCTCTAATTTACCAATCGTGTTCCTTCCTAGTTATCCTCTGTAATGTGGTGCTAACCACTACAACCCAACTAGACCTCAGAAAATGCATGTGCACACCAAGGCAGTAAGCAGACTTGTCAAGAAGATAGACACTACATTGACGCCGTTGTTGTCCAGTATGTTCATTCCAGAAATCCTCCTTACTGTTGGACCATCTACTCCAACCACCTACAGCAGCATAATACAGCGCCAAACAAACAATCAAATTATGACTCAAAGATGATTACGGTATTTACACATATAGCAATCTACAATGCTTGGAGTGTCATACCTTCTTGCGAACGCTGCAGTACCCGCTGTACTGAACGGTTGCGCCCAGTAATGAATCGATCAGGCTTCCACATAGGCCAGCAGCTGTAGCTAAGGGTATAACTAGCAGTTGCCTCCAAAATACATCAGAAGCACACTGAGTTGTTAAGAATCCTATTAGCACAAATGCAAGCCCAATCGAGCATCCAGCTGCTGCTGCTGCAAGAAGTCCATCGATGGTTACCCCACCATTGGTCCCCTTCCGCACCCTCTAACGAAGTTTCATGTCAAGAGAAAAAGTGAGAGTATATTCATACTGAAGTTCTGTTCAATTAGAAAAGAAGATTTGGTTCATACCTTGAATGTTGTGATAATTCGTGGTTCAGATTTGCTAAGTATGCCAAGCTCAGAAGACCATGTATCACCATTGCAGCAAGAGTAATGTCCAATAACACCACCAATAAGCGCAGTTATAAGACCCGACTCTTTTGAATCCAAGCATTTGTCTTCACCTCCAGTAATTAGTGCTATCAGGACTACCAAGATACTTGCGATACCACTGTTTGACAAGACTTGCTTCCTGCCAATAAGAGTGGTGCGGACCTGCATTAGAAAGATTCAGAAGGGAATTTTCTGAAGCTGAAAGACGTCTTATCTCAACAACGAAGGTCATAATATTGATCGAATTTAGAAACATACAAACATAGGCGTCTTCCGCATCTCATTAGATATGTTGAGTTTTTGTCACCTTCTTTATAAATATCTAGTCAAATCTCACAATTGGAGAAACCTCTGGGGAAGGTGTAACAGGTTGCATCAAGTAGCAAATATTCATGATTTTTAGTCGGTGTTCTAGCAAAAGTTCATTCATGGTTCAACTTGATGCAGCAACCAAAAATACAGCTACTGGGCTGAAAGAGAATAGACACACCTCAAGATAATATCGCCAAATTAAACCAGCATAATTGAAGACCTCGTAAGTTCTCAAGGTTCTCTATAGAAGAAAGTTGCTTTTGTTCTAAGCAAAGTTTGCTATTCACATGCAAACTGAACCACATGCTTCAGGTTTAAACTCAACAGAAGTAGAACCACACTAGCTCTTCTGTAAAATGAATCCATGCAAATTAACACCGGTTTCTGTCTTTCACATAATATAATCATATAAAATGCATTCTTCCATATAATCAGACTCGCACTGAAATGAAATCAATACTACTCAGGCACACAATTCGTTTGTTGAACATTTGAATTACAAACGTTTTCCACTGAACAGTGAATTCTCTTTTGAAAGATTATATCATTGTCCTGCTCTACAATTGGAACCAAACTCATTTGAAGTTTCTTCTGTTGATGTAAAGCGTCATAACTTGTCAAAGTTGTTGCTGAATTAAAGCACTACGATTACCACAGAATCAAAATCAAGCATCCCCAACAATACCAAGATTAGCTTTCCAAGATGTGCCCAGGCAAAGACGGTAAAAGAGAGCAACGAAGGAGCGATCTGGGCTCACCAGTTGCGCTGGCCCCCCTCCTTGAACTCAGGATCGAGCGCACGCTTCCTGGCCTCGCCGATCCTCGTCACCCTCGACGCCGTGAAGAAGAAGACCAGCAGCAGCCCCGCAAACCTGCAAGATACCGGACACGAGATCCCCGTCACGACTCACGACGGAGTCCAACGGAGAAGGAAGAAGATCTCCAAGCTAAACGCGCGCCCTCTCACCTGTAGCCGGCGACGGTGTGCGCCACCATGGCCGGGACGCCGGCGAAGACGGCGGTGAAGTCGACGGACTTGCGCCGGACGGCGCGCGCCGCGATCGCGCCGCCCGCCGCGACGGCCACCGCCGCGCGGATCCACACGCCGCCGTTGACGCCGGCCGGATCCATCGCGGCCCCTGCGGATCCTACAACCCGCCGCCGATTCCCCGACTCCTACCAAATTGCCTTCTCGAGCTGGTCGTGGGTTCGATTTGGAGCTGCAGCGCGGCGCGTGAGGCGAAGGTGGCGGTGGTTTGCTGCACTGGCTCTCGCGCTCGTGCTCGTGAGATTCCTTCAGGTTTAAGAAATTCACCGGAGAAGATCGTTATGTTTTGGACTTTTTTCAGGAACCACCTTGACGTTCTTCCGAGTTGTAACCCAATACCCATATTTTCTAGCAAGGGCCCACCTTGATATTGTTCAGAATGTCATGTGGGATTTTTTTACATAATTCTTTATCACATGAAATACAGTACAAAACAAATTTTTTTATAAAACAGAAGAAGAAACAAGTAACCAAAAAGTTTGATTCGTTGTCAACAGTTTGAAGTTCAGAACATCTGCCAATTCCACAAATCCACGAGTAAAATCAAAATCTTCCATGGAAATACACATGTTGCTTGACTTGTTTCTGAACCCTTGACATTTTGCTAGCTGGCATCAGGTGAGGCAACTCAACTCAGAGTGAAACGAAAATGCTTAATAAAGAGTTAAAAGGTCATCATCATCGTCATAAGATACTACAGAGAGAAGCTTTTAAGATGACCATCATGACACTACCGCCTCCGTTTCAAAAGGCGATGATGATCATCATCAATACCACTATTACTGCCACCATCTCTGAAGATTGCAGAGTACCCTAAAAAAACACAGTTTTGAAACTGTGCTAAAATCTTCCCCTCCCTCGACCTCGCCCTCGGCCCCTTCCCCGCCCGCGCCCTCGGAAATCTCTTCTCCCGCCACCCATTTCTTCAGGGCCATTGAAGCTGAACATGTTCATCCGCAGGCGTTCGGCCTCTGAAGTCACGGGCATCGCCTGAAAGACATCGCATAGCCATTTAATAAAACAATATTTCCGGACCAGTGGATGTTTTTTTAACAGGAAAGGGATAGGAGATGGGAGTCGAAACTAACGTGGGAATCTTCTAGATCTAGTTGTTCTTGGAGTTGTCTTGCCAGTTCCTCGTCTCGACTGGTGTCTTGTATATGCCTTTCTGCTGTGGACATTGAACCGCCTGCTTTTCTCCTCTCCCATTCATCAAGGGTGAAGACCGGAGTCTCTTCCTGCTTGCTCCTGCCCTTGAATCGACCCCGACCATGCCTATCTTCGGGGATAGCCATTTTCTGCAGTAGTTTCTGTGCAGCAGCTTGGTTCTGAACAGGGACAGCTTCGCTTACTGCATAATGCAAATGAGTAAGTTTTAAGTTCTAACTGTGCATAATATCATGCCCAGTAGATTTAGACAAGATGCAACTAGGGTTTTGGGGGCCAACCTTCTTTTGGCCTGATATCTGCAGTAGACTGTTTGGGTTCAGCTTTGCTAGCTGTATTCTCTTTGTTCATGTTACTTGAACCCTCATTCGTAGGTTTTGAACTGGAATTAACCGACACGTGGTCATGAGCGACTGCCAAGTTTCTAGCCTTCTGGTCTGCTACGACACAAGATATAAGTCAGAGGGTGGCTCACAAGTTACAGCTACATCACCAAAGGTTTTGCAAAACGTGCAATTGTCGCCCGGGTCATTTTATATGCAGAACCAGCAAATTAGAAAATGGCAACTATGTAGATCTACAAAGATGCTCACGGCTAACATAGAGAAATCTCTTTATCGAGGAAATAGTTCAGAACATCATAATCTTCCAAGCATGTGGATTTCACAAATTGAGTCCAATACAAAATCATACACCTATTTACTTAAGATGCCAAGCTTTCCTGAAAGTACACAGCTACACGTCTACGCCTAATGACATCATTTTAGTGAACATGCAAGAAGAAACAGAAAGAGAAGAAATATGAAACATTACCGGGGTATTCTTGCAACTGGAATGTCCTGTTTGGACGTGCTTCGATATCTAATTTCTCAAATGGTGGAGGCCCAACTCCATCGTCATCTTGTGACAACCTCAATACTGGGCGTGATAAGCCTGAGAATTTCTGGTTCATCTTCCATTCCTCATACAAAGATTGGACAGTTCCCCCGACGACGCTCACATTTTTTGCACTCAGGCACAGTATGCCATGATTTACTGGAATCTTGTTCTCAAGACGAATCTATAGTGGAAAGAAAAACAGAAAATGCATACTGACGTCAATATTCAACACATAGAGAAAGCATAAAAAATGCAGATATTGTATGTTATTTTAAATGTTGTAAATTTGAGAAAATAAATAAACGGCCACAGAAAAGGAAAAAAAATCATCTTCATCTATTCCTAACCAAAAGTAAAAAACCTAAGATGTACTACTAAATAAGCTAACAAAGCAAACTTGAACAGACTGTGGGACAGAGAACCAATGGAAAATAGTAATACTACATCCCAACCCAATCTCATGCTGCACCACACATCATTTAAAGTAGTTTATTTCACAACTACTCGCATAGAGCAGTATCTTGTTTTCCAGCGTTTGGTTATGTAATTTTCATACTATATGAGTGGAATAACTGAGCATCCTGCTTGGTAAGTGTATGTGCCAGGCTCTCCAGTCTCTAATCCAAGTTGAATTGAGAAGCAAAACTGAACTAGCAGTCTAGGACAGCACATATACACGCTTATTTAACTAGGTACAGTGACTGCATATTGCCTCTGGTACCTGGGGCAAAACTAGAACTAGAACCTTGAGACAGAGAATATGAACTAACCTTGGTACCTGGGGCTATCTCTTCTGTGATGAACGGGATAGGGGAAAACTCAATGGCCACTGCTTCAGAAATACCATCAGTGAGACCAAACCGCAGAAGGCGGCGTTGCTGTGGGTTCTTAAAAGAAGCATCGACTCTGCTGCTATATATATCCCTTACAGAAACTACCTGCATAAAATCGGTGGAACCGGTTAATATACAACGAGGATCAGACAACCAACAGACATCTGCACATTCAGAGACTAGAACAGCATATGCTCAAACACTAGGAGAACGCAGACTCACACAAAATGTAATGTAATAATAAGACCACTGTTTGACAAGGTAACACAGCTATTTCCTTTGCGAGTTTCTGAGTCGCGGGATGGAATTCCAAGCAACATAATTGGGAAGAAAACTAAGAACGACTGCTAAAATGAGGTATTCCCCAGACTTTGAAACTAGTAACGAGTGCTGGACTTGGTGATTTGATTTGAGCTGTATACCTGCAGGACGATGGGGCCGTGGAGGTAGGAGAGCCGCTTCGTCGCGGTGGTGGCGGCGCGGTCGGGGAGGGACTTCCCGCCGAAGAGCCTCAGGTCCGTGTCGAGGAGGTCGGCCTCCAGGGCCTCCGGCGACGGGGAGGGGGATGCGTGGAGGAGGGCCTGGATGGACTCGTCCGCGGTGTCACGGAAGCGCCACCCACGCGCGGCGAGGGGCCGCAGGAGCGAATCGTCCTCGCGGAAAGCCGACGAGCTCGACGCTTCCGCCGCCATCGCCGGCGAGGTTTGGGTCACGGGGTAGGAAGGGGAGAATCGATTATAACCCCTCTAGTTCATCTGCCTTTGCTCATACGCCCCTTTCTTTGTCTGCCTTGCTTATGAGCCCCCTTGTTTGATTTGCCTCTTGATCATAAGCCCCTTTTGCACGTTTAAGCATTAATTCATCACCTGATTCTGAATCAGTTGATATATAGATGAACAAAGTGAACAAAAGACTGAATTATTCTCCCTTATCTTCTCTTCACCGGGATTTGGCTTGTAGATCCTCTGGTATGTTTCCACAAGGGGACGGGATTCAAGTCGGGCGCGCCTGAGAGAGAGTTGGATTCGGTCGGGGATGGGCAACGGCGGTGGAGGCGGCATTGGAGGGAGAAGCCGCCGCGGCGCTGGAGGCGTCAAGGGGAGGATTCGGCCTTCCGCCCCGCATGCGCGGAGGTCGTTGAGCTTCACAGGAATGGCACCAGAGGAGCTTGGGCTGGGGCTGCCGGCGGGAGGAGCTTGGGCTGGGGTTGCCGATAGAAGAAGCACGGGCTGGACCGAGTTGTGGGAGGCGCGACCGAGGTATGGAGACGACTGCACGGAGGTTGTCGACCTCATGGGAATGGCAGCAGTTTACGCAGATGGGTGAGAACTCTGAGAGAATCATTGTTAGTTGCAATGATCCAGCTAAACATGAAAAGGGGGCTATGGTCAAGAAATTTGAGCAATAAGGGGGCTCATAAGCAAGGCTGACAAAGAAAGGGGTGTATGAGCAAAGGCAGATGAACTAGGGGGGTTATAATCGATTCTCCTGGTAGGAAGTAGGAAGCTCTAGAGGAGGCGCACTAGCAATATTGCTGCGAGCAAAGAACCAAGGCAGGTTTCTGAAATCCGTAACCGCACAAGGGAAGCGGGTGGCACTGAGAGAGCTAAACAACAAATTTTCTTTTTCTAAAACGAAACAGCAAAGTTATATAGCCAAGAGAGCAGTGACAACATGTTAAAAGAAGAAGAGAGTAGTGACATAAGAAATCATGACATGAAGAAAATATATTCTCAAATACGCGGAGTATACCGTAAGATCGTCTCCAAGGGCAAGGACAAGTGTATATAATTTGATGTCCACAGTCTCTATTTATTCGTGGAATGTTCAGACATGGCCAGACAACAGAGGTTCAATCCTCATTTATCTGTCCTAGTGAACCCATGTAGGTCATACACGTAGATCAGTCAACAACAAATATAACACACAATGACTTAACAATTCAACAAACCCATGTAGGTCATACACGTAGATCAGTCAACAACAAATATAACACACAATAACTTAACAATTCAACAATTTAAACAAGTTAACATGGTCGACGGCTAATAAAATTCAACAATTTATACTGTGACGCCCCCGATTCAATCGTACACTAATCATGCACGCAAATGTGTACGATCAAGATCAGGGACTCACGGAAAGATATCACAACACAACTCTACAAATAAAATAAGTCATACAAGCATCATAATACAAGCCAG